GTACATATGTATGTAGTAAGCGTTTGATTAAAATCCTTATCATTTTTACATTTTTAAATGTTCATCAGGCTAAAGATTACAAACTGTATTCACACACATACATACTTATGTACATATGTATATGTACACCCATATGTAGATGTTCATTATATAAACATATGTACATACAAATATCGTTCCCTCTCTCACTCCTATAGCTTCGTAGTATTTGGTGCGCTCGTTGACCAACTGTCGCGCGACACGTGCAGAGAGAACTCCCGAAAGTCTTGTAACTCGCGAATATTCCTCCAAAGGTTTTTTATTTTTATATGTATATATATATACATATATATTTGTTGCATTTTCGAGAACAATTCGGCTTTTGACTTTCTTCTACCGTTATTTCACCGGTTGAGTGGCGTTCACTTTCCACACTTGGCAGCGGCAGTGGCAGCTGCATTCGCGGCGTTGATCAGCAACCCTTTTTCGCAGATCCTTGCATTCGACACGCACTGCAGCAGGACAGAAACAGGAGCAGGTAGAGCCAGTTGCCTGGCCATTGTTATTGTCCTTGCGAGGGAATTGATAAGGGAAGAAAGCCTTTCACTGCCGCCGCAAAGGGTTGGTATCCTGCCGAATTATTGCCACTTGGGGCCACACTTCACCAATTTGCCATATTTCCTGCTGCTCCTCCTCCTCCCTCTGCCGGTACTCTACGTTTTGGCCTAAGAGTTCATGCCACTTTTATCTTGGTGACAGCTGCCATTTGAATAGCTTTTAGCACACTGTTAAAAGCTCAGCAAAGCGGACATGAGAATATGTATGTGCCTCTCTCTTCTCACTTACACACACGCACAGTCGCTCAGTGAATGTTAGTGAGAGCGCAAGAGCGCCAAGAGCGTTGCATTAAATGCCAAAGGCAATAACAGTGAGAAATACACACACGCACACGCAGACATGTGCACTGATCTATTAAAATGTTAGGCGGGGAAGCTTTTGAGAGCACGCGTGTTTCACTTTGTTCCACACTGCTCTGCTCAGCTCGCCGTGGCGCTGCTCTGCTCTGCTCTGTTCCTTGCCTGTTTAGGTGACGTCGCAGCGTGCTGTTAGCTGCTGTTGCTGCGCTGCACGTTATCAGCAATATACGATCAAAAGCTAAACAGCGGTCGGCCAGCCGGCTGGTTGGCTGTAAGCGTGTTCGCTACTCTTGCTGCCGCTGCTGTTTATTGAGGCCATTGAACTACCAAAATAAAGTCGAAATTTTTTATTAACCTTAAGCGGTTGTTGCCTGCCCAACTGCTTACAACTGTTTTTACCGTTTTTCTTTTATTTACTTAGTTGTGAAGTTTTGCCCGCTTTTGCGGTCAACATAACTAAGTATATGCAGACATGTATACATATGCGCATGTGTATATGTTCACGAGGATGTGTCAAACATACATATCATGCATACATACATATGTATGTACGTGTGTACATTCGTATGTTCGTACATAACTCTGTTGTCAGTAATGGCGCCAACAACACCGGCGACGTCACTGTTAACAAAAATGTACATAACATAACATCAGCAGCTACAACAACAATTGACCGGAAATAACAAATAAATGAGGCAGGCGTGCACGCTGCCACAAAACAAAGCAGAGCGCAAACACACATACGCACAGTCGCTTACATACGCACACTATTGTCCGCATATTGGTACGCATGCATTTCGAATGCGAATGCGTGACGTAATCGTGGACTGAATTGTTGCATTTCAGTGCAGAGAAAAACCAGAAAAATACGTAATCAAAACTCAATATGAGGAAAGAGAGAGAGAGAACGAAATGGCACTTGCATGCACACAATCAAATCAAATGAATATGTGTTTATGTATTTGTGAGAAAAGCGCAACAATTGAAAGAGAGCACAAGAGTGAGACCATCGCGCCAGCGCCGACGCCGGCTATTGAGCTTCAAAAGACTTCTGCTGCTGCGTTCTGTGTGTTAAGCTTTTGTCGCGCAACAGGGTTGTCTTCAATCTGTCAATATTGGCACTAAGTGCCCAATCATAATTGATCATGCAAAGGGATAATAGATCTTAATTTAATTTGTTTATTTATTTTTCTCCAATTTAGTACTTTGATTAATATAGAATTTAAAGTCTGACTTTGTATATACATGTATGTATGTATGTATGTTCTATATAACAACATAAGTTAAATGGAACGTGAACGCTATAAACTGTTGCCCATATCTGGCTGCACCCCATACATATGTACATATGTACATATGTATGTATGTATTCGCATTTTTCCCACTTTTGTGTTCAATGCTGCTCTGCTGTTACTTTTCGTCGTTTTCCCTTTTTTTTTTTTTTTTGCAAGTGTTGCGCGCTAATCATGTAGTTGTTGCCTCGCGGTACCTCGCCTTCATTTCACTTCGCCAACACAACAGCAAATCCCAAGCAAGAATAACAACAGCAACGCAGCGCAAGAAGAGCAATAGCGGCGACCACTTTGGCGTTTATTGTCGCTTTGCAGCCGCGTAACCGACGGGCTGCTTTCCTCTCTCACTCTCTCATACTTACTCACTCACTCACTCAATCACTCTGTCTCTCTTAACGGTGCTCCAACGCCCGGCCACTTGCGATTTTGCTTTACTGTCCCATCAATTCGCCGCCGTTGTGCGCCTTGCTCTTTGCTGGGCCTGTTTCGTTTTCAGTAGTTAAATGCTCTTTGCATTTTGCGGTCGTCTTATTCGGAAATACGCGACGTAGTTGGCAAGCAACAACAAATATATATATACACATATACATATATAAAATAAAATATAAAAAAAAGAAGAAATATATAACAGCTC